CTACTACTACTACTACTCTACCACTATTAGTATCTACTGATTTCAATTTCAATAAACCTAACGTTTACTATGGAACTAGATGATACTCTTACTATTGCAATTGGCACGATTGTTGTTGCTATGATTACTATCGTGCTTACTAGTGCTTGTTACGGGCCTCATCCAGCACGCGCACGAAATCTGGATCCCGAAGCCACATGTCGAACTCGTCCCTTGAGATGTTCCGACCACCGACCTTTTCCAGAATCGGTGAACTTGGCACGAAGAAGGTGGGGGGGATGTTTGACAGTGAATCAGCTTCTGCAGAGAGCATCAAAAAAATGTCCGAGCAAGTCATCCGATTCTACCACACAGTACAACCTGAGCTGTGCAAAAACAGCTACATGAGCGAAGCGGCTTGCAAGACTTCGTCCAGACCTTCCGATCTTGTCTTGAGGTCAGGCGATAATCGGAAACTGCTCCTCTTCAAGCCCAGTTTGCGAATGATTCTGTCCTGCATGGCAGCAATGTCTGTGCTTGCAGGACAACTGCTCACCCCCAAAAGCACGCCTGGTCGTTGTGTTGATGCTGCCATCACTGCCATCAAGACTGTGGTCTGCTTGTCACACTGGCCGTCCTTGATCTTTGTTTCCGTTCCCAAAGCAGTGTCTGCGATTTCAGTCTGCTTGCGAGCGAACTGGGAACTCATCACGTTCCTGAGTTTTCTGAAAGCTTTCCACAAGCAGATGAGAAGAAAACTCCTGCATGCCGTGCACACCTCAAAACTACCTGTGCCATAGCCCCAACTGTCAGCTGGTTCTCACATACTGTACAACAGGCGCGAAGCATCAGTTCTGATTGACGCCTCACAGGCCATGACACGGGTTGCAACACCCTTTCATAAATTTCGCAGCAAGTGCCTAATAACAATGCAAGGGATGCACGTGTGCAGTCTTGATCCGTACGGCTCCTCTACATCAAAGCTAGCAGCTAGCCATTCAGTGCCTGCTTTCGCGCGGAGTTCTATGGCACAGGTTAGACGCAGTGATGCCAAAATGTGGTTGCGAATCGCAAAGTACCCAACTCGGATTCCCTGACACTTTGTTTTTTCCGCGGCGGCCCGTATACAAGCTGGTGGCTGCACTACTAAACTGGATCCCTGGCGAAACATCGGCCCCTATAGCCTGAACACAACCGCTCGGGTCCTAAAGCCGAAATCCTCAAAGCATCAGGCACGCTGTCATCATCGTCATTGGAACTTTTCTTTCGCAAACATGACTAAAATTGGCGTCGTCAGGACCACTCTATCATCATCACGGCCAACAGATCATGTCGATACCCTTCCGATTGTCACTATGACTGTGATTACATCTCTTGTTGCTGCCGTTGGTTTCGTCGTCGTCGTACTGTTGTTAACTCGTCGCCGGCCTCGTAGTAGTCGTCGTCGCATGTTCGTAAGAGTAGTAGCAACGGTAGCAGTAGCAGCAGCAGCAGCAGCAGCAGCAGTAGTTACCGCAGTTGTCGTCGTCGCCGTCCTCGTAGTAGTCGTCGTCGTAGTAGCAGTAGGACAGTATCAGCTGTGTTGATGCTGGTCTTGCTACTCTGACCTCTACAACTATCGCGACGAGCATTACACTCCTTAGCAACCCACCGTTGCAGCACCAGCTTCTCGATAAACACGGCCATTATTAAGTTGAACACGCCCACGGTCACCAACATGGTCACGAAGATGTAGCCGACCTGGAAGGACCAGGCCCAGAGCACTCACTCGAAAGACCGCCCTGGAGCTTAATGTTCCCGGCTCAAAGCGAATGACTCAGGATGTCTAGCCCTGCCCAATGCTTTGCGGCAGCGCTGGAAAAACATGGCACAAGACAGCACTGAAAAACATGGCACAAGACAGCTCTGTGTCGAAGCGACTGTCGAAAGGAGGACTTGTGATATGTCTGTATGTATGTGTATGAATGCAAATAACAGATGTGTACATACATATTATATATAGATATATATGTACCCATATATGTACACCCATACATACGCACATACATAGATACATAGATACATAGATACATAGGTACATAAGCACAACATTCATACATACATACATACATACATACATACATACATACATACATACATACATACACACACATACATACATGCATACATATATACATGCAATCACATGGAGAGACAGACATGAGAGAGTAGAGAGGCCACAACCTCCTCTTCTTTACATATGTAGATCTATGTGTCTCTGTCTGTCGTTTTTCTGCAAATACTATATGCATGTAGGTGGAAACTGGGCATGTCTGTTTCCGGAACCTTGGAAGCTAGCAGTTTCTATTGCAGACATGAGCTCGGTGCTTGTCTTGTCTACTGGATGTTTGCAGGCAGCATTTCGCTTCGAATTGCAACACTATCTGGTGGAATGTGAGCAGCAGCCTCAGAGAGTGTTGTGAACTCGAACCAAGGACTTCAATGTCGTGGTGCAAAGACGCTTCTTCGTGCCTTTGTACATGATGTCTAAAGAAAGGAGACATCTGGCTCTGTTCACAAAAGGCGGCGCGCAGTACATTGATCGGAGCGGGGGTGGCCGATGTAGCGTTAGTGTGTTTCAGGGCTTCAGTACTGACTCGAAACAGCTTCCGGTGGGATCTGCTCTCATGGTGATGTTCTTCATGATTCATCGGGGAAGACTACAAGGGTAGTTTTAAGCTCGCATGATAGCAGGGTCTAGCTCTCAGTCAACTTGCCATACACTTGTGTTAGAAACTCTGGGCTGGTAAGAAGCCTTGATGGCAGTTGTGCTCTGAGAATGGGCCCAACAGGCCATTCAGTTTTGAAACTGTGCGTTCAAGTGCCAAAGAGTCCCGGCCACATATTCTTCCAGGATCAAATATTCTTATCATCGTATCGATGAATCCGCTGCCTTCTTGGCCATGTCAGACTGGCATCCCTAAAACCCCAAGCCCCAAAACTCGGATTATACTGTCCCCGATACTAGCCTTTGTAGTAACCCATTTCGAAACCCTTACACTCACCCTTCTAGTAGTTCCTATACCATCACTATCCCCTGAAATCCCCCTTTTGATAGCCCTTATGAGAACCAACCCTAAACCCTAAACCCTAAACCCTAAACCCTCAACCCTAAACCCTAAACCCTAAACCCTCAACCCTCAACCCTAAACCCTAAACCCTAAACCCTAAACCCTACACCCTCAGGCCAGGGAGCAATGAATGGGCCCCCATACGCTTCCCGGAGGCGCTCAGACAGGGGGGTCCCGTCGTAGGCGCTGCAGCCATCCGTGAAGCACCGGAAACCTCGGGGGGGCGACGTCCCAAAGCTCATAACATAGTAGTATTCTTACTATAGCTATAACGGTTTTGGGTTTCTATAAGGGCTTAGAGCTACTACAAGGGAATAAAGTGAACGGGTTCCTTGGGGGGACCCGGGTTCTGGCTGCAGAAACGCAACAGGTGAACATGGCAGCAGCCACGGTCTCGAATTCCTCAAACTCCACGCCGGATTCTTGAGGTCCCTCTCCCACGAAGTTGCCTCAGGGTTTAGGGTTTAGGGTTTAGGGTTTAGGGTTTAGGAGGGTCATGGAGCCTGGTAGAACCAGTGGCTGCGCTCCTGCCCTGTAAAATCTCTGCAGCCCAGGGGCGCATTCCAACCCCGATGCTATAAACAAGCACCACCAGCAGGACGATGGCCCAGCAGATCACGCGCAATCCGGAGAAGACACCGAGCACGATCCTCAGAGCACACCAGATCCCCTCAAAACAAACAGCGACAGAAAGGCTTGGCACAGACCCAAGTCCGAACGATCTACGTGGCGTTTAGGGCGTGGGGTGTCTTTCTAGAGTTCAAGCAACAAGGTTTAGGACCGGCTGCCAGTATTCTTGGCTGCCGAGTATGATTATGTTATACTATGACTAGTCGATGTCGTGGTAGGAAGAGGAACAGCAGAGCCTATCGAACACTCTATCGAACTGAGCGCCTCAATCCCGTGACACGAAAGCCTGAACCCAGAACTCCACAACACCTACAACCTTGGTCCGAAACTACGAAATGCTGTAAAAACTCCGCCGAGAGCAAACAACCCCAAACCCCTTAACCTCACACCGAAACCCCTAAACCCTAAACCCAACACCACTAAACCGCCAAACGTCACACCCTAAACCCCACACCCCAAAAGCCTTGCACCCCTAAACCCCTGAACCTCAAACCCCAAACCCCTAAAAACCTAAACCTCACACCCCTCACAGCCCTAAACCGATAGACCTAAAGACATGGCTCAGCTTGAGCTCATGGAAGACCTGGAAGCGCAGTGCGCGGATCAGCCGGGCCAGGCGCGCCAGGCGGAAGATCTTCATCAAATTCAGGGAGGAGATGGCCTGGTAGTATAGGGTTTACCGCTTGGGGCTTAGAGGGTAGAAGGTTTTTGTTTTTTTTGAGCACCTTTTTCCACCTAGCAGTTAAGGTCGGCAGAATCCACATTGTCGGGGAAGGCTTCCAGGTGTACTATGTTTAGGGTTTAGGGTTTAGGGTTTAGGGCTTTTGCTAAAGGGTTTCCGTTAAAGGGTCTAGGGCTTAGGAGACTGAGGCTGTAGACGGGGGCTTTACGGGGGGTGGAGGGTGTCGGGGCTTTAGAGTTCAGGGTTCAATGGGGATTTGGAGTGTTCGGGTTGTAGGGCCAAGTTGAATGTTGCAGGACTGCGGGTGTGAGCTCCGGTACTTCCAGCGCCTCGCCATCGGAGCTATCACGGCCCTGCAGCAGCAGCATCGTAGCGACTGCTACGTCCACCTCAATCAGGCCCGACACTACCGGGATGAGGCTTTAGAGGAGTGACTGCTTGCTGTGTCTCTTGGTGGTTTGGGGCCTCAGGATTCAGGGATGTGTGTCGAAAGGCATAAGGTAAAACATCCTGCGACTGGGCGCCGGGCATACATGACAAGCAAGCAAGCAATGTCGAAGAGGTTCCATGCACGCTCTGGGCCACACCAGTACCAGCTCCAGCCATACATCCATACCTAAACGTGTGGAAAGCATATGTGAGGTCCGAGATGGTGAGTGCATGCCAGTGATGCTGAGCTCTCATGCCCAAATAAAGGTGGTCCGAACGACTGATGAGATTATCCCCTTGTTGTTCTATTACATAAAAACCACTACAGTATCCCCTAAGCCCCCTGTTTTTTTAGCCTCCGAAAAGCCTTGGCGAGAAATTCGAAGGTGTAGAAGGCCACCTCAGAGTTAGGGCTACAAGCTTTAGGGTCCCGGGTCAACGTTTCGGGCTTTAGGAGGTTTCGTGTTTAAGGGTTCTCAAAAGGGGTTTAGGGTTAAGGTTAGGGTTTACGGTTCAGGGTGCAGGTTTGGGTTTAGGGTTTAGGCTGCAGGGGCGTCGGGTGCATCCTGGCATTCTAGTCTGCGTCTCTAGACCCCACTGGGCCTTCAATGTCGGGCTTAGGGTAAGAGCAACGTTGGTGTGTGGACGACTCCCGCTCTCAAGGAATCTTCCCTCAAAGATCTAGGGTTCAGGTTCGGACGGTTTCGGCATGTACCCTGGTAACCTCAAACTTTCTACACCCTAAACCATAGATACAACGTCCTTCTCAACCCGAGGGTTCTACTCCCTAACCATCCCTATGACACCCGAGAAGATTTGAATCTCCCAAGGTTTAAGGTTTAGGGCTGACGAGTCCCTGAGCCCTCTTGCGGTGCAGGGGCGAAGACATATTCCAGAACCTGCCAGCCAAGGTGACCACCTCAGACCAGCTTTAGCGCTCGAGGCTCCTTTTCATCACCTCTGAAAGGGTTTAGGGTTTAGGGTGTAGAGTGTAGGGCTTTGGGTTTAGGGTTAATAGCGGCTTCAAGCCAGGTCACGATAGAGATCGAGGCTGATGCCAATGACGAGGGCATTGGCCACGATAACGATCGCAGGGACGATGTTCAACCAGGCAGCCCTCCGGTCAAACCTCGGGCTACAGAGTGAAGCACAGAAACAGTTGGAGCATGCTTTAGGGGATGATTCGTGCGAGCCTTCCTTATACTGTACCTTAAGGGTATGAGGATAATGATCTTCCAACGGTTCGGCTTCAGCTGCAGGATTTGGGACTTAGGTTTTGGGGTTTAGAGTTTAGATTTAGGGTTTGGGGCTTGGGGGTCGGGATTTCGGGCTTCGGGCTTGGGAAGACATGCATCGCCCTCCGTAAAACACAAAAGACCTGCCAGGCCCTCTACAAACCCTAGACCCTGATATAGGGGCCTTAATAATTAGAATGGGGTTGTGGGGCCCATTATGACATAATTGTAATAAGGAACCCCCAAGCCCCCAAGATAGGCCCCTCATATTCAACCCTAAACCCTAAACCCTCTATCCTGCGGCCCGGGGGCTTTTCGAGCTCGGCTTCGGTTTTCCCTCCGGTACACGAGCTGGGCATTTGCATCTCTCGTCGTTTGCGGAGGGCTTCGGCTTCCTCGCGGCCTGGGGCTTTGGGGCTTTGGGGCTTTGGGGCTTTGGGGCTTTGGGGGCTTTGGGGCTTTGGGGGCTTTGGGTTGAGGGTTTCGGGGTTACGGGCTTTGGGGCTCTAGGGCTCCAGGGCTTTAGGGCTTTAGGGGGGTTAGGAGTTTAGGGCTGAGGGTCTTGGGGTTGAGGATTTGGGGTTGGGGTCTTGGTTGACGAGTGGAACTGGAGGTACCATACTGTAGACAAATACCTCGGGTGTTGGGTTTACACTTCTTGGGCATGTAAAGAGTTCCGAAGCACATGATGCACCTGAGCACCATGCAAAACCCAACATGGGACAGGTCTCCTGCATGCCTAGGCACATTTCACAACGTCCAAAACATTCTCTGACATCTCCAAGGCATCTGTAGTGCACGTATCGATCTCCGCTATCACCATCTCCTCGTCTAGCGGCACCGAACAACGCAGCTTTAAGCAATGGCACAGAAGCCGGTAGGATGCCAACTCCCAGTGTGGAGCTTTGGTTTGGCTAACTTACCTTTGGTTAGTAGGGAATGGAGGAATGGGTACAATTATAACTACTATTACTACCATTCTTCCATTCCCTACTAACCAAAGGTAAGGCTTTGGTTTAGCTAAGCATCGTCTTGCATCGGCTGCGCTGTCTCGTCCCCAAGTTTGGCAACTTCTGCGCAAGGCATGGCAGTAAGGTCAGCAATGGGAGTCTGGCCATTACCGTCCTGTACCTCTGCAAGGACTGGCGTTTTGGGTTTGTGGGTTCAGGGGTTTAGGGAACTGGGGAAGGAGAGAGCCGGGTGCCGGACGCAAATTGATGCCAAATCTTGCGCATGCTGCTGGACACCTTGGTACAGGCTAACTGGCCTAAACCCTAAACCCCTAAACCCTAAACCCTAAACCCTAAACCCTAAACCCTAGACCCTAAATCCTAAACGGTTTAGGGTTTAGGGTTTAGGGTTTAGGGTTTAAGGTAAGCTTTCAGATCTTCCGTAATT